TGCATTTATGAGACCTTGAGAAAGATAGTTTGCGTCTTTGGGCTTCAGAGAGCCACTCTGGGGGTGGATTCAATGACTTTTAAGGTCTCTTCCAGCTCCAAGTCCTATGATCTTTAGGAGTAAGGCATACCAGATCTCCATCTCTATGAAGCTCCTTATATTACAGCTAGTCAGACCAACAGTACATAGATTGGATTCCTCCCATAGAGGAAGCAGGGAAAATTCCCATGATTCTAGGACACTGGTCAAAGTGGCCAGGGACAGCAGGTCACCCCATGTGCCTGGAAAAACACAAGGCATTCAGTTTAACCCTTCACGTGGGGCCCTGCATGCAGGATGGGGCTGTCTCAGAAGGTAAATATACTGGTAACTTCTTTTAGATTCTGCTTAAAATCCCCTCAGTTCTACCATTGCAGTGTTCAGTGTAGGGCAGATCCCATGAGTAACACTGTCTAGTTGATGGTGGTCCCTTGGAGGAACAAAGTCTATGAGGGGGAGGATTCCTCAACTCCTTCACCAATCCCTGATAGGCACTGGATACCCTGGGGGAGAGTGAGGAGCTGCCAGGGAAGCTCTTAAAACAATTCCCAGAGGGGAGGCCAGGACAGCAGCCTCCAGGTGGGGAATCTCTCCTTCATAATGCTCTTCCTGCTCCAGCAAACCCCTCCATTAGAGAAACAGAAAACAGGGATCCAGGCTCCCAGAGTCATTTTTCCCACAGTAGTATCTCTTCAATCTGCTCTTCAGGGAAAAGAAGACAGGAGATGGAAAGGGAAGAAGGAACAGAGATGGAAACCTTTTGGTCCAAGTCTGCAAGTTCCAGCGTTTTCCCTTCCTCCTGTCTGTTTTCACAAGTCATGGAGTGTGCCAGTTCTGTGTATTTATGAGTTCCTTCCAGAAGAAATAATTTCTTGGAAAAAAAAAAAGCACGGTGCATTAACTTTCACCTTGGCCATCTCTTTTCCCATCATGAACTGTCCACTTCAAGCCAATCTTCCTTCTCAGGCTCTATTTCAGGCTGGGAAGTGAGTGGTGCTTTGTGATATTCCACAGCATACAACTTAATTACTTTATTTGCTTCTTAAATAAGTCCCTTCTCTTTTTTTAATACTTAAACCATCTTCTCCTTCAAGAACCAAGGTCTGACTTAGACCAACCTACTTCAGTAGGGTCTTCCCTAGAGAGATCTTAGAATCATGGGATTTCAGTGGCCATCTAGTCTAACACCCTCATTTGACAGATGAAGAAGCTGAGGCCTGGGGCAGGGGTCAGAGGTGAGGTCAGTTGCTCAAGGTCACACAGACATTGTCATTATCAGAGCTGAGGTGAGAGATGACAGGCCCCCATGAACTGGATGATGAAGAGCCTTGAGACCATGTCCTCTGAGGAGTGTTTGAAAAAACTGGGCATATTTAGAAGAGAAGATTCTGGGCAAGCATGATATGTCTTCAAGTATTTGAAGGAGGAGGAATTGGACCTATTCTGATTGATCCCTAGGGCCTGACCTAGGACTAATCAATCAATAAAGATTTATTAAGTGCCTGTGATATGTCAGGCATTGTGATAGGTACTGAGGATTTGTTCTTGTTGAGTAGTTTTTTCAGTCACGTGTAAATCTTTATGAGCCCATTTGGGGTTTTCCTTGGCAAAGATACTGGAGTGGTTTACTATTTCCTTCTCCAGTTCATTTGACAGATGAGGAAACTGAGGCAAAAAGGGTCAAGTGACTTGCCCAAGGTCACACAGCTAGTAAGTATCTGAGGCCAGATTTGAACTCATGAAGATGAGTCTTTCTGATTCCAGGACTAGTGCTCTATTCACTGTGCCACCTGGCTGCCCAGGTACTAGGGATACAAATGCAATAAATTAAGAAACTCTTATTCATAAGGAGCTTACATTCTAATGGATGGTTGAAAGTCAAAAAGGCCATTTCAGGCTTAATGTCAGAAAAAAATCCTAACAATTAGAGCTATCCCAAAGTGGAACAAACCGAGTGTCTGGACACTCTCTCCTTGTAGGTCTTCAAGAAGTGGCTAGAGGTATCCTTGTTGGGTATGTTATAATGGGCATTCTTCTGGTATATGGGTTGAACTAGATGGCTGCTGAAATTCCATTCTGTGAAATTGTCATGAGAGAAGTCGTTCTCCAAATCCTGATGCTTGTCATCACCATCTCCCTCTTTGAAAAGAAAAAAAACATCAAGCTTCTTTGCCTCCACCTAGGCTAGGGGCCAGAGAAGCAAGGCAAGAAAAGAAAAGCATGATAGGTAATCCATGAACACATGGGGAAAGCTAAGATAGATGGATCTGAAGACAGAGACACTTCTTTCCTACCTGGGAGAATGTAAGATGGCAGGTCACTGGGGTGCTTTGTTCTCTGTATTCCACAGATCCTGATACAGATTAAGAACTCAGCTAATACTTGTTCCAAGGATCATGAGATTTAGCCCTGGAAGAGACCTTAGACAACACTTAGTCTAGGACCCAGACAAACTAACTAACTTGCCTGGTGACATATAGGGGTCAAGTCAAAAGGCTTGGGTTCAGATCTTGGTCTTTTAAACCAGCTTCACTGATGACTGATAAGACTGAGCATTTCCAAGCTCTAAGAGATCAAGACATTGTTGGCTCCTTTTGCCCTTGAACTCTGGCTGGTTGAGAGAATGAAATTGCTTTCAACAGTGGGGTTTGTTTATAAATGAGAATGCAGTATCATTTCTACACTTCCTCCTCTTCCTTTTTTTCTACCTCCGCCTCTTCTTCCTCCTTCTCACATTGGCTAGAACCTAGGGTATATAAATAAGATGAATAGGAGATAAGATGGGAAGACAGATTAAAATTGGATTATGGCAGCAATGTTAAGTGCACTGGATTTGGAGACAGAGGACCTGGGTTCAAATCCTGACTCTAATACTACTACCTGAATGAGTGACTCTTCTGGAGTCTCCTCTTATCTTAGGCAACCATGTAGTGAAATGTATAGGATGTAGAACTTAGAGTTAGGAAGACCCAAGTTCAAATCCTGCCTCAGACACTCCCTTGCTGTGTGACCCTGGGCAAGTCATTTTATCTCTCTATGCCTCAGTAAGATGGGAATAATGATAACATCAACCTCAAAAGGTTATTATGAATTTCAGGTGAATTAGCATATATAAAGCACTTTGCAGACCTTAAAGTACTATCTAAATGCCATTAATTATTATTATTATTATTATTGTTTGTAAGTGAGAGGGCTAGACTAGCTGACTTCTGAGATCTCTTCCAGCTCTAAATCTATAATCCTGTAGTTTCATGACTCCAAATTTAGTGCTTCTTCTACTACACAATGCTGCTTCTCCTTGCTATTGATTGAGAAGAATTACCAGAGGAGGAGAGGGAAGCAGGAGAAATTTTCAGAGATTCAAGAGAACAAAAGGAGGAGGGAGGGAAGAAGAAGAAAAGGGCACTCAATAGAATGACCACATAGAGAAAATGAAGGAAAAGGAGAATGGGAGAAAATAGAAGTTCAAAGAAGAAAAAAAGGAAGGTATTAAGTATAAAGGAGTGCTTTAAAAACAAAATATAAAAAAAAGTAGGGAGGAGGGAAGAATAGAGAGAAGCCAAAAATGGAAAGTAAAAGGGGAGGGAGAGAGAGAGGGAGAGAGAGAGAGATGAGGAAGAAAGGGAAAGTGGCAGTGAACTCCAGTGCAAGGCACTGTAGGCCTCTAGAATATTTATATAATTCTGTCTTTTTCCCTGTCAGGACTTCAAAATATCTGTGCTTTTAGCAATATGGGCACTCCCCTCACCAGCAAAGATTGCAACTCCTAAGTATCTTAGGAGACAGCCTTCATGAATTGCTGACACCAAAAAAAAAGGGAGAAAAATATCAGCCTTTGGTAGCCAATCTTCAGGGAATGAGTCTCTGCCATTCTGGGTATGATAGTTTCAATGAGAATTCTAACAGCTTCCTAGAGAAGAGCATTAGTGGGAATAAAATGGCGATGTGTGGGTATGCGACATTTTTAGCATCTTAAAAACCATGTCATCTTTGTTTCTCTGATCGTCTCAATCACATAATCAGCTTTTTGGAGAGAGGGAAGAGTGCCGTATTTGTTCCTGCCACGGTAGGTACTCACATTATTGACCAAAGGTAGGACTGAAGAACCTGACCTTTCATTGACCCAAAGCTTTCCTCTCTACTAACGATAGATATGGCCAAGACTCACAAAGGGGAGGGGAAAAAAAAGAAGAAACTGTGAGGAAATGTTCCTTTTTCAACATGTTGGTTTTCTCTATGTCCAGGCATTTTATTAGAATTTCCAGATCAGGAAATATGGAAATATTAGGGGAGGGGAGAAGAAGTGGAAACATTATGAATGAAGACACTGGTTCAGAAGGTCTTGCCAGATGAGCCAGCTGTTGTTTTCTTTGGGAACTCCATGAAGAGGTTGACAGTAACCTATCTTGGAGGGAGGGGTGGACTGCAGTAGCCACAGCAGCTGAATGCCATCAAAGAGAGAGAGAACATGGACATAAAATTCTCCACTGACATCTCAGGCTTGCTCAAGACACTTAAAAAGGCCCAGGAAAGAAGAGCAAAGCACAAGCTAAGAGTACTTCATACTTACCCCTACCCCACTATGGTCCTTAGAGGGTACCTCCTTCATGCACGTCTGACCACACAATCATCATTGCCGCAGTCCTTGAAGGCACTGAAGGTGACTTACAAACCTCTAACTATGGAAGGCCTAATAAAACAAGCATAACGCCCCTCTCCACACATGCACCCACACATCCATACACACGCACACACAAATCCCCGATAATCACTGGAAGAAAATAATTGTTGAGTTCAAGGCAAGTTGCAACACTCTCATCTCCCAAAGAGGAGATGTTTTTCCCTTTTTGAAAAAGAATGTGACAGCCTGCAATGCTGATACTGTCAGCTCTCAGTGCTGGAAATAAAGGACTAGCTAAAGACTTGCTTTGGAAAGATCCAAGGCTGTTACCTCGAATTACCTGGGAGAGGGAAATATTCTTATTTCCCTCTGAATTCCAGAACCAACTTGGGAAGAACAGCAAGGCAGCCATGAGTCTGATCCGGCCCAGGGATTTTCTTTTCTGTATACATCTTCCTATGAATATTCATTTACTTATGAAGCCTCCAAATCCGTTTACTTTCTATTTTCGGGAAGGTCTTTGTTGGGGAAACTGTATTTTTAAGAGAAGAAAGAACTTTTTTAAAAAACTGAAGTGAATTCACCAATCAACAGAAGCAGCAGCTGGGGGTACCATTCCTTCTCTGTGCCATTCTTTCCCAGATGACTTTGAATGTCAACAGCCCTCATGCTTCCCTCCCACTCCCATGATCCAAAGGATTTCTCAAATATTCCTCAATTAAGCCTTCTGCTACCTTTAAGAAGTGCAGATTTCACCCCATTCTCTGCATAAAGCTGGAATCAGGTGCCCTGGTGCAGTGATTTGCACCCCTGAGGCAGAAATAAAAGACTAAACTGAATTGAAGACCTCCCAGCCAGTCGGAGGAGGCAGGAAGGGGAACAAAAACATGGGGAGTTGATGCCATTTTCTCCTCTTTAACAACTGTCAGGCTTTCCTAATGTGTCCTGGAGAACATCCAGTTCCCTCGGGACTCAGAGACATTCATCTTACTAGTAGTGATTAAGCAGGTATTTAACATCCAGGTGGTCTCCCAACTTACAACACCTGACTTACAAATGACCCATGCAGCTGGCTAGCTAACTCCCCCTGCTCCCTATAGGAGGATGTGCTGCTTCTGATGTGAAAGAGGTATGAATTCAGAAGTAAAGGAAGGGTAGTAGTTGTGAAAAGCAGAAACAACTTTAAGGGAACTGAGTGACTCCCAGGGGGCAAACTTCCAAGTGAAGCTGACCTGCCCCAGTGGTAACCTTCCTGCCTCCAAAATAATCCCCCTCCAAGTTGCATGAATCTTTTCAGTTCCTTTTGTTGTATTCCCCAAAATTCACTAATGACAAATTCATTTGGAATAATGCTCAAATATTTCTGGCAGGGTTCAAGAGTTACTTCTTGATCATTTACAATTTAGTGAGAATTAAGCCAATTGGATTGCTTTCTTCCTACCACATCTGAGACTGGCTGTGAGGAATGGTCATTTTTTTGGGAGGTGGGGCGCGGGAAATATAGGTATGTAATTTTGGAATGGGGTTCTGCAGGGACAAGGGTAGGGAGTATTAAGAAAGCAGGATATTAGGATTAAGAACCCAGAGGGAAGGAAGGCAGACAGCTGTACAGGAAGATGCAGTGTCCATACAGCTGTCCGAAATCATTAATGACTCCCTTCCCCTGTTAGAAAATGCAAAGAGACTGAAAGTTTTGCTATTGCTGATCATGATCTAGCGCTGCTGAGAAGCATTTGAATAAGCAAAGAAGACTTGTGTGAGTGAGAAAGTGTGTAACAGTGAAATTGAGTCCATGTACTTGTGTGGGTAAGAGGGACTGATTACAGAAATATGGTGAGGGGGTGGCTGGGATAATACCCAGTTATTTAGGAGCCCATAGAGTAGATGCCAGGGGGCAGCTAGGTAGCACAGTGGGTAGAATTTGGAGATTAAAGTCAGGAAGACTCATCTTCTTGAGTTAAAATCTGGCACTAACTAGCTGTATGATCTTGGGCAAGTCACCCCTCAGGAGAAGGAAATGGCAAACAACTCCAGTATCTTTGCCAAGAAAACCCCAAATGGGGGTGGGGTGCAACTAGATGGCACAGCCCTGGAGTCAGGGAGACCTGAGTTCAAATCCAGCCTCAGACACTTGACACTTACTAGCTGAGTGACTCTGGGCAAGTCACTTAACCCTGATTGCTGTGCCAAAAAACAAACAAAAAAACAAATAGGTCATGAAGAGTCAGTCAGACATGACTGAAACAACTCAACAACAAGAACAGAAGTCAAGTCAAGAAGCATTTTATGAAACACCTACTATGTGCCAGGCAATATACTCAGTGCTAGAGATATAAAAAAAGGCAAAAAACAAAACAACACACACACAAAACCAGTCCCTGCTCTCAAGGAGCTCAGTCTAATGGGGGAGACAATATGCAAAAAGCTATATGCAAACAGGATATAGACAGGAAGTACTTAGAAGGTTTGTATTTGGGTTTGGGGAAGCATAGGAAGATTAGCAATGGGGGCTGGCAGAGTATGGCATATTCTGATGGTAATCTGAGCTCTGAGGCCATGTGTCAACTGGACTCTAAGGTCCAGTTCCCTTCCACAAAATGATACCATCTTTCTGTGATGACAAGTCCCTTCTCTGATGTGGATATCTGATTGACACAATTCCAAGCTTCCAGTAGACTGTACATAGGAGAAGGAAAAAAAAAAGTTCGAGGTTGGGGTTTGGGAGGAAGAGGGGCAAACAATGGATCCAGAGTCCGGATATGAGAGTAATTAGTGGCAAATGGAAAGCAAGATCTACATCACATGATAAGTCTCATGTTACTCTGCTATCTGGACATTGATGCCTTAAGAGAAAATATGGAAGAGGGTCTTAGAAGACTTTAAAGAGGGTCACAGAAAGGAAGACAAATGGCTGCCTGAAACTCTGATTATTTAAAATGTGACATCAAGGCTTCCTATAGCAAGCCTACTCTTACCATTCACTGACATTCATATTCAGAGCCATAATCAGGATGTGGCATTGCCACTAGAGACTGATGTTTAGGGACCTGAGCTTCCTCCCCTGAGGGAGGATTTCATCCCTGTTCCTGGACCTTTCACTCCTCATTCAGCCTGTACAGTAACAGAGGTTGGGGGTGGGGAAGATGAGCCCAGGGAAAGCTCAAAGGATCAGTGTTACAGGCCAGCAGATGTCAGAGGGGAATACTAGCAACTCACTCTCCCTCTAAGACTTGACCTATGGTTGAACTTTCCCCCAACTCTCATAGGGCCATAAGCTGAACTGTCTAGGGTTATGTCTATCCCCTTCCCCAGCTGAATTTACCCTGGTAATGGGATTCCTAGCTATGGCAGTGTTTACATCAGGAGTGGCCACATGTGGCCCTCTAGGTCCTCAAGTGAATCCCTTTGACTGAATCCAAACTTCAAAGAACCTGCCTCGAGGCTGCAGGTTCCCCACCCCTGGTTTACACTATTGCCCAGCTTTCTCTTATGGCCAACCCTCCCGTCCATTGCTGCATTTTTCCATCTCTCCTCTCACCCCCTTTGCCTCTTTCTATTTTTCCCTCTGCGGAGATGATGAGGAGCTCAGAAATGTGTCATTCACAAATATAGAATCTGATCAGGCTCTCTCATCATTGCTCCCCAAAACCGATATCACTGTGTGGGAAGGTACTGGGAAACAGATCCTGCAAATGGTGTTGAATCAACAGGGCTTAATTCAAAGGTGGAATTTGCTAGCCTCCTACATTTGCTCTGGTAGCTTCTCTTTCCACACTCTTCCAGATAGAGGCTTACACATAAACTGTTAGTGTTCCACCTCCCAGACACTCCCTCAATCTCTACCATAACTAAAGTCTTTCTTCCTCACACATACTCCACTCAATCATGTTCTATTCTCCCTTTATCTCATTCACATTACTCAATCACTATTTCTACTGTGCACCCTCCAGGCTGGTCTCTACCACCAGGCAGGTCTGATCACCAGCATGAAGAGAATATCCTGATGCTGCTTAATATGCCAATGAAATTGTGGGCCTGGCATAGCCTCTGCCTTTCAGTGAGGACATTCCCTACACCTTACAAAAGGAAAGGAAACTCCTTTCACTCTCTCTCCTCTCCCTTCCTTTTTCTTCCTTCTAGGCCCCATGAATCCCTGCTTTAAAAACCCAGGCTAGTACTAAGAATACTATAGTTCATTTACATTATGACTTCAATAGTCTTTTGTGAGCTGGGGGGGAGGGGGGAGGTAAAACTACCATTTGTGACATTGTTCCTATGGGAAAACGCATACTAAGCTCCAAACCATTGACTCACAGATGAACTTTTGAAAGATGACCCAATTATAAGTAGGAGGAGATGGCCAGAAAGTGTGCTTTGGAGCTGATTTATGCTGGTAGCTAACCCCAGATTGTATACATCCTCCCCAGGATTTCAGACTTTATTCTTCTAACCCCGTCTCAGTTTCCATCTTTGGCAGCTAACCAACTTTGACAGTTATGGGGCAAAGCAGCATACAAAGAGTGGTGGAGAAAAATTGCTGTTTCTCTGTCTTACATTTCCTGCTCTCCCTTCTGGCAGCCCATTGCAATCAGTGACCCAATCAACAAATAAATATTAAGTGCCTATTTGGGGAGGAGAGTACAGAAATAGAAAAATCAAGCAAGCAGCAAGCATTTATCAAATGCTGTAGTATATGCCAGGTACTGTGCTAGGTATTGAAAATACAAAGACCAGAATGAAACAGGCCTTGCCCTCAATAAGTGTGTGTTCAGTCAGTTGGTCAACAAGCATTTATTAAGTGCTTACTATATACCAGGAACTATGCTAAATGCTGAGGATACAAAGAAAGGTAAAAACACAGTCCCTGGCCTCAAAGTGCTTACATCCCAGTGGTGGAGGCAACATGCAAAAAAAATTGTATGATCAATATATTATATATATAGATATATACATACATATATGTATGTGTACATGTGTATATATGTATGTATGTAATATAAATGAAAAGTAATCCCAGAGGGGAAGCCCTAGAAGTGGTAAGTAGGAGTACCAAAAAAGGCCTCTTGCAGAAAGGGTGATCCATTCAATTCAATAAACATCTGTGAAGCACCTACTATGTGCCACGCACTATGCTAAGTGCTAGGGATAGAAATAAGAAAAAGAAAGACTGGCCCTACCCTCAGGGAGCTTACAATCAAACAGAGGAAGACAATACCAAAAGGAAGCTACAAGTGGGCAGGACTGGGGAGGGGCAGGGAGAAAGATGCCAGGGCTGCTTGGCATGGGGCATCTTGTTCCAGAGAGTTCAGACCAAGCAGTGGGCCAAAGCTCACTTTGAGTGAGCTACAAACTCCAGGCCCAGCTCTCTATAAAGGAAAGCTTGACTTGGAGTGTAGTGCTCACTTTCAGCCCTCCAATCAGAGAGGAGATAAGGTTGCTTGATAGAACTGGAAGGTGCTGAATATCCAAGGTTGAGTTAAACAGCTTGATGATCAAGGGAAACACTTAATAGCACAAGGAGTGCATAGACTA